AAAATATATACTTACAAGGTTCCAACTACTCTTGTTGTACTGGCTATAATTTGGTCCATTCCAAAGATCCTCGCTATGCCAAAATCCGCGATTTTTGGGTTCATATCAGTATCTAAGAGAATATTGCTGGCTTTGAGGTCACGGTGTATGATTGTGAGCCGTGAATCTTGATGAAGATATAGAATCCCTCGAGCGATCCCTTCAATGATTTTGTATCGTACAGTCCAGTTCAGTTGGCCTTTCTTTGCAGGGTCTGTACGCACACACCCATGTACTTCAGTTAAATCTAAAAAGATTTGCAAACCCCAGTTTCCAAGAATGGCTAAAGAATCATTGAAACAAGGCAATAAATGAAACTGACCAAAGAAGAAGTAATCAAGGCTTTTGTTGGGCACATACTCGTAGACCAATATCCTTTCTTCTCGCTTTAGAGAAAATCCAAGCAGCCTAACCAGATTTCTGTGCTGAAGCTTTGCGACAACAACAACCTCGTTCTTAAACTCCGTGTCACCTTGTCCTGATGATTTTGATAGTCTCTTCACAGCAACTTCAGTCCCATTCGAAAATGTACCCTATTCGTTTTCATCAACATCTTCTCGTTATCCAAATTTGTTGACAAATAGTTTCAATGAAAAGTACACAGCCTCAGGCACAGTTAAAGATCTAATAGTAACATATAGTACTTGTTGAACAGAAAAAAAAATAATAATAATAACATATAGTACCTTGTAAACCACGCCAAATCCACCTCGGCCAATCTTATTATTCTCTGAAAAATCATTTGTTGCAGCTTGAATTGTTCTATAATCAAGTTGCAGCGACTCAATGGATGTTATATCGTCTCCTGTTGCACAATAAAAGTGGTAGTAATCAGAGAAAAGAACTGGTCAATGACATTAATCAAATCTAATTAAGGTTGTCAATCATTGGAATTCTTTACCATCAAAGGCTAGTGCAGTGTCAGAAGTCTTCTTTGTCCTTTTTTCAAAGAAACAATAGCAATCTATGAAAAGTAGAACCGCCACTATAGTAGGCACAACAATGGCTACGGCTATCACACCTTTTCCTGCGTATCAAAGATCATTTGCTTGAATCTCTAAAACCAATAATACAAAGAAAAAAAAACTTTCGCTATTAGTATTTGGTAAGTTCGAGAAATCAGGGGAAATAAATAGAGGAAGAAGAAATAGTTCACCAGGTCGTGGAGGAGATGATACAGGAGAAGTAGAGGGAGGCGAAGGTGGTGGTGGTGGTGTTGTAACGGCGGTTTCGTTGTAGAACGCGTTAAGTTCGTACCTTGCATTACATCTTGGCAAAAGATATCTTCCCCCAAATCTGTTATAAGTAGAGGGAGGCGAAGGCGGTGTTGTAACGGCGGTTTCGTTGTAGAACGCGTAAAGTTCGTACCTTGCATTACAGCTGGGGAAAAGATATCTTCCCCCAATTCTGTTATGAGGGATTCCATAGATGCATCGTTGCAGACATCCGCTACAGTCTGAGCTGGTCAGATCCGGAGTGCACTGAACCAGGACGTACAGACTCTGGAGTGCAGTCCTAATAGCCCAAGTGGTCTTTATCGCAGCGAACTTTCTAGAACTGCTCGCTGCTTCAAAGGCAGCTTGGTTCATCATGGACGCCACCGCACCAACGTACAGTCCTTCTAGATCAGATGAGATATTGTTGTTGTTCAACAAGCGCCATCCTCCATTGGGTGTGAGGTTCGATAGAATATTCTGGTCAGAGTATCTGAGCATGCACTCGTCGTAAAAGATCACGGCTTGTCTCTCTTTCGGGCACCAAACTAAGGTATCGTTGACAGAAAAGGCGACACAGTTACGGCAGACTTCCGGCGAGAGGTCTCCATGGCAGAGGAAAATTCCGGTGACCTTGTCGGCGGCTTGTCCGACCGTAGCGTCTTGGAATCCGGTGGAGTAGGAAGCGTTCGGGGAAGAGAGAGAGGACAAAAGGGTTCTGAGATTGGTGAAGTAAGTGCTGTTACTTGAATAAGTTGTATTTGAACACTGACTGTGAAGGAAATTAGGGTTTTGAGCAGAAGCTCTGAAACATATGAGGAAGGAAAAAAGGAAAAGGAAGATGAAAGAGGCGCAAGAAGACATGGTTCGAGTCCCTTGATTTGGGTTTCATATCCTTTATATAACCTTCTCGCTGTGAGTCTGTGACTACTGTTTATCAACGTGGAGCAGAGGAGGGTTTGTGGCGACGACGATAAGTCAACAATTAGAGTCAATTTTCAGTGAAAAGTCAGCATGGTTATGGATAGTGTCAAATGTGTAGTTATCATTTGTCTGTCTTTAAGTAACAACAACAAAAAGAAAAATTACAAAGTTGGAAAAAAGGCATGTTGAAAAATCAACTTGATTTTGGACCAAAAATTTAATTAGTGGGGTCAATGCCAAATGTTTTTGGAACTTGATCCAAAATTTATAAAGTTCTTCTTAACATCATATACTGATATCACCACGCATCGAAATATCTTAATTTAAGGATTGAAAAAAAAAACATAAGAAATTTGTAATATTTGAGGTTCTAAATGGACTTTTCCTTTTCATTTGTAACTGTAATTATGTAGAAATCAAGAAATTTATACTATTAAAAGAAGTATTTTAAAATGTCTAAAAACTAACATGGTATTTACTAAAGACATCATATTTGTTAGATAATTTTATTAATTTATTAAGAGTAATATTGTCTAATTTTAAATATACAAAATGATATGAATTTATATTGAATTTCATTATAATGAACTTAGTAGTTTTTAATGGACTCTACTAAATTACTGGTTTTGAATTTTTATCTTATAAGAAGAAAACTAAAAATAAAATTTTAAGAAATATGTTACAAGATTTCATAAATGCAAAATATATCTAATATTCTGTACAAACGATATTTTAGCATTCATATGATTTTAAGAAAGAATATATAATATTTTGTTAGAATATACGATCATAAAAGTTTTTTCTTAAATCGACTTTTATTTTTTTTCTATTTCAATCAAAAATATTTATCCACATAATATTTTATATTCATATAACAATTTTTGCTGATGTAAGATCCTGCAAACTCAATATTCTTTTAAGTGAATCGTATGTTGATATATTTCATGATAAAAAAAGTTAGCAATGATTTATATGATTTTATGCATGTTTGGTCTGGTCATGAAATTCTTTCTTGAATTTTTTTTCCTTATGAACTTCTATGAATACAAAAAAATACTTGTGTTTTGTTAATGTCTTCTTATATTATGATAAGACAAATTATGTTAGTGATTTTAATATTAATTCTTAAAGTAGATCATACATGAGTGCGGAAGCAACTGAATAGTTTTAGAGAAACAATGAAATTAAGAAACATGCATATATTTTATTGTTAGTCTATGTATATTAGTTTGTTTATATTTATCACTAAAAATCAAAATACATACCTTAAACTTTGACTTGTGAAATAACTAGATTAGCTAAGATGAATTGATGTTAAAGTAAGAATAATGGTCTTATTTTCCACAGAAATTTTAGATTGGTTATATATAAATTTCTGATGTTATACATAATTTTATCCTGATTGAATATAAAAAAAATTATTGCAAAACCACATAATTTATGAATAGAAATCTGTTTGAGTTTTTTTTTAACATATTGCTTCAGTTATTCCATAAGATAATTTACATAAATATTGATTGAGAACTAAATCAAAAATCACAGGTGTTCACATGTGTTTTATTAGAAGTACTCTTTATACAATATTCAGAATCTCATACTTAAATTTTATGTATTATCATCTTTATGTGTATATAGATGTATCTAAACGGGTTTCTTGTTTTTTTCTTTTCAAATGATTAACAGCAAGACACCAAGTTCTATATAAATTTTTTAAATCATTATCGTGAAGAATTACCAATTTTTGAAGCAAAGAATAGAAGTTAAAGATCGAAAGAAGATTTCAATCGCAAAATTTAGAATTCGAAAGTATCCAATTTAAGACTAGAAAGGGATTATGTTTGCATGTTGCTATTGGATTAATAAAAAAAATCACTGTTTTCGAATGTGCTAAAATGTTAGACATAAAATTTTAGTATGTATTTCAAAATAAAACATTGGTTTAGAATGTTACTAATAAGTTTAAAACAAAAGTTTATAATAGGTCAAAATATATTTTTTAGCAAAATCTACATACAAAATTTTGGCTAAAATTAATTTAAAATTATTGTAAATTTATAAAGAAAATTAAGAAAATTAATATTAATAATAACTAATAAAATGTATAAAAATGCATACATATATTATTTTCTAGTGGACCAATATCTTGAATTTGGACACAATAACAGATTAATTAAAATATCAGACTCAATTTCTCTCATTTCCATTGCAAAAATCATATATATAATGAGAGAGTCTTCTCTCCATCTAAAGTATCCACCTCAGCCAAAAAAAAAATATCAAAAGTGTGCTTTTTATGATTACTGGACTTTTGTATAGGAACACATTACAATTGTCAATATGATTACGTCTTCACCAAAGACACCGAAATGATATTCCACTAATCAGGTTGGGCCTTATTAAACAACCGAATAAACCCAATTAACAACGATCACAAACACATTATTCTCAAGCCAATACACAACAAATGCCAATATGATTACGTCTTCACCAAAGACACTGAAATGGTATTCCACGAAAAAGTTGGACCTTATTAAACGACCGAATAAACCCAATTAAAAACGATCACATACACACCCTTTACCTTTCCCTCTACCTCTTTGGACAGTTTAATGCTCATAGCCGATTTATTCATAAATTTTTCCATAATCCTTACTCCTAGCCACCCAAAATCATTATGATACATTCAATGCCTTCCTAATTACGTTCCCTCTCCACTGTCCCTTCATCAATTTCGCCTCAGCCGTTACTTCAATTACCACTATAAATAATCCAATCTACACCCCAGTTTTCCCACACGATACTTCCAAACTCTGCAAAATATAGAACCCTCCTACATACAAAAACATCAGCCATGTCTGCAACTGATATTGTCGCCATTTCAGCCAGTGCTAATTATGTCACTTTCGATGATCTTCGTCTGGGTCGCTCAACACAACAAGTTGTCGGCAGACTTTTACGTTATTGGGACGCTCGCAACATCAAAAAGAATGGAGAATTCATGGGGATTGTCCTCCTTATCCTAGATGAGAAGGTAACAATTTCACCTTCAATGAAATCCATATTCTACTTCAAACACTCTCTAACTGTTTTGTACTCCCTACTTTGTCCCCTAGGATTCTGTTATTCAGGGATTCATCCCAGCTGGACGTGCTGATCAATTCCGCCAACTATTAAGAGAGGATGCAGTTTTCAACATAGGAAGATTTGAAGTAGGAAGGTGCATTAACCTTTACAGGATCACAGATCATCCGTTTGTTATCCGTTTCCTTCCTGCGACCACCATTGTTGAAATGCATGATGTTAGCCCAACCATAAAGCATGAGAGATTCATGCTCCGCAACATCGACCATCTCCAAGCTTTAGCCAACACTAACCTCGAACTTCCTGGTAAAAATCATATTAATATCCTCATCAATATACAACTCATCCAGTATCACGTGATACAACATTAACAAACACTTTGTTCAACAGACGTGGTAGGCCAGATCCAGTTTGTTCAAGGGTCAAACCTTGATGATCCAACTTCCACACAGCGCTTGGTGGTTCGTTTCCGTGTTGATACGTAAGTCTTCCTAATCAGATCCCTATTGAAACACACACTTATTACAAAACCATCCAGCTAACACTAAACTCACACAGATCTGTTGTTGTTTACCTCTCTCTCTGGGACGATGCTGCTGCAACCTTTCGGGCACACCTGACCACTGGTGACACAATGCATTCAGTCATGGTGGTTACTACCATTAATCCTAAGCTGTTTGGAGGTATGTATTAGGCCTGCTTTAACACAACAACACAAAAAAATTCATTATGAGTCTTTTAAATATTAATTACAACACTTCCTCATATGCTCTGTTCAATAGGTAATCTATACCTGAATTCGACACCTGCCACAAGATTCTATTTCGATAGTAACATCCATGCAATCCAACAATTGACCACAAGGTTTTCAAAAATTCTCCATACTCTCTTACGATTTATTTAGCTTACTGACACACAAAATATATTAACAATAAACATAATAACTACACATTATACACACTAAATTACATGTATAGGAATTTCAACAGACCACCAATAAACATCTAATGCCTATTTAAATAGATCTCTATATCCATCACAACAATTACGCTATCAAATTTTTTTATTCCAAAAAAAAAATGGATCCAAACAAAAAACATGTCAGCCGGATTGAATCATTACCTCAAGATTTGCTTGGTCTAATAGTGTGTAAAGTCGGTGCTGACTCTCCTGTGGATTACCACAACTGCATTCTTTCATGCAAAGAGTTACGTGCTTCATCCACAGACAAAAGAGTTTGTCAAAAACTCAGCCTTGCACCCCTCCTGAAGAAACCTATAGCTGCAAACAATTACCACACAGTGATGAAGAATTGTCTTGCGAATAACAACAACGACGCAAACTATATCAAAGGTATATTAGAATACTTCCTTAAAAATAGCAAGTTGATATATCATGGTTTTTATGGTTTTTAACCATGATATAAGTCCTTTTTATTGAGTCTTTTTGGTCTTTTTAGAGTCCTAGAAGAGTCTTTGCAGGTTAAAGCATGTCTGGAGCATAATTGGAGATTTTGGAACCTTTTGGAGCATTCTGAGTTGAAGCCACGAAGTACCAAGCTCGAAGTAGAAAGTATTCACAAACGGTGACGATCGTCACCCCTTTGGTGACGCTCGTCACCCAGATAGGAAGGAGCGTGGCTATTTATTAAAAGTATCAAGAAGAATTGCAGAATTGGCTCAGAAGTTTCCTTTATTTACATGAAGACCCCAGATCGTGTTTAGCTTCTATTTATTAGGTTTTTCAGCCATTGTTGGCTATTATCTTAGTTTTTGAGAATTCAGAGAGCTAGAGAGAGATTTATTTCAGAGCTTTTTGGGGAGACAAATTCTGTACTCTTTAGAGAAGATTTCGAACCCCCTTTGTTTCTTACTCTTTCTCTTAATGCAATTTTATTCAGTTATGTTTTGTGATCTCATAATCATGTCTGAGTAATCTGCTAGTTAAGTTAGGGTTTTTCAAAGGTTGATGAAAAGAGTGTAGAATCGCTATCTGTTAGGAATATCTCATGGTTTTTCATCTCTGCTTGCTTTAAAATCGAATTTCTGAGACACATCATCTAGAAATCCGAAAATCATAGGTTGTTAAATATATGTGAGAGCATTATTCATAACCTGAACTAGTATTTGATGAGCAAAACAACTTAGTACAAAGAGATTTGACTTAAGAGTTTTGTAAACAATTGAATCTGATCATTCCTGCATACTTAGGTTGTTAGGGTTTGCAAAGAGATTTGAAACTCTGTGATCTTGGTATAGATAACTTTTGCAATGAGAATTGATTAGTTATGCATTAGAGATTCATGTTTAAAACGGTTCTTAATCATTCCTGATTTCCTGCATCATACATTCTTGGATTCATACCTGCGAATTACCCTAGCTTAGCGCTTTTAGTCTTCTTGAACTTAAATCATAATACACCATCGTTTGCTTACTTCTATTCATTCATTCCCATTACATACATCATATTTTGCTTAGCTTAGTCCAAATCTATATTTGATAGTGTAGTCTGCATTACTCTCTTGGGATTTCGATACCCCTTATACTACATCTGCTTTTGCTGTGCACTTGCAGTAGTTTTATTTGGGTAAAAACTGAGCTCTATCACAAGTACATTGGTCTCCATCACTTTTCTGTAGCGGCAAACGCGGGCCACAAAGAAGCTACGTACATTTATGCTCTGATTCTTCTATGCATCGGCTTTACTGAAAAAGGAAAGAAATACTTAGCACAACTGAAATGGGCGGATGACATTACAACAGTAGACATGTGCTGGGAAAATCTAAAAGTAGCATTGCATGGGATTAGAGTCATCAGGAAAAAAGGCTATGTGAAATCACTTAACAAGATGACACCCACAATCTATTGTCACCGCGACGACATGGATAACACATGTGCTAAGTGCTTTTACTACAAACAAATGTACAAGTTTGTCTACATGATGTAACTATTTTTGAGTGAGAAATAGTCTCCTTTTATTTGCCTAATATTGATTCACAAATATAAACTATCTTACACTATACTGCAACACATCAGATTTGAGTTTCGAGCAGACCTTCCCTACATCATTGCAGTGAAAGTTATGAGAACAAAAAAGCAAAAATGGAAAACATAATTGGGAAAAATCGCAAACAGTCTGACATTATCACGAAGACCAAATAAAGTTTAACATATACTCACATCAAAATATTTACTAAAGTTCACATCCATAACTCTATTAGTAAATTATATTCTTACTCACATGTATCATATATGAGATACTTCAACATGACAACATACAATATGAACCGCATATAATAAATGATATACATATTACAATCATAAACATTGAATATTTCAACAATCTTATACAGAAACCAAAATGAAGCAGTTACGTGGACTTTTAAAATTCCACCAAACGTTTCAACTCCACAATGACCATTATTATCACAGAACCAAAAAAATATATAACACCAGTAGAAGAAGGACCATCACAGAATCTTAAAATTCAACAACACCCACCCAAGTATGAGAGTAAAAACACCAGCGAAAAGGAAACCGGATGCAGAGATTCCAAATCCAGTACAAAAAAAAAGGAAAACAATTTCAAATGCAGAGAAACAGAGCATGTTGGTAAATAAAAGTAAGTGGATGATAGAAACAAAATAACTACAATATAAAAATACACCGTTTCATTAACCTTTATTGGCAAACATAATTTTACAATTTTTCAATATGATTAACAGGATTGATTGAACAAGCTATAGAATGTCGATGCTCAATCTGCACACGACGAGGTAGTAATACTTTAAAAACCCCATACTGCTCATATCCTCAATTATAAATCTCCCCTAATACTTTTACTACCATATGCAGCCGACCAAAAAAGGGCGAGACAGATGCGACGAGCCGTACTACTAGCTAAAAAAACTAAAGGAATGGTTAACAGTACGTGTCTACTTTAAATGTCCAATGCTTGCTTAAAATTAAACAAATATAGATATCTATAAAAATTGTTCATCTGATGCTCTTTTATATATTTACCAACGCACAATTACAGGGATTACAAAAGTACAACCAGCTGGGTCCTCCAAAAACTTAAATGGTATGCTAGAATGCCCATTCTGTAATGCTTTGATGTGGAAGCAAGAAAAAATGGGAACAAAAGGCATACACAAGGTACCATTGTTCTCAATCTGCTGTCAGCAAGGAAGAGTTCACTTACCAGAAGAGCCACAGCCACCACCAGTACTTAAAAAACTTTCAACTGAGTCAGCTCACTACCAGCAAAATATCAGGACATACAACTCCATTCTTGCATTTACATCAATGGGAGCTCAGATAGATCACTCCGTCATGCACAAAACAGGACCATTCACTTTCAGGATACATGGCCAAAATTACCACAGGATAGGTTCTTTACTGCCAGAAGAAGGGAACAACCCAAAGTTTGGGCAGCTCTACATTTTCGATACAGCAAACAAAGTACAAAACAGAATTTGCGCAGTTAGCAGAACCACGAAAGCGGGAGAGTTGGATAAGATCATAGTGAAAGACCTTATCAACACAGTGGACACGTATAACTGTTTGGCAAAAATATTCAGAAAGGCCAGAGATGTGTATGAAAATGGCGAGTGTCCAGAGTTTAGCATACAGCTGATTTCCCAAAAGAAACGTGGAAGGCAGTATGACATGCCAACAACCGATGAAATAGCTGGTCTAATTGTAGGTGACTTAACTACTGCTATTGGTGAAAGAGATGTGATCGTAAATCACAAGTCATCAGGACTACAACAAATAAGTGATTTACATCCTCTGTTCATGACTTTACAGTATCCTCTTCTCTTCCCATACGGGGAAACTGGATACCATGAAGCTATCCCTATTGTTGAAAGAGATGGGAGTAGGCGAAAAAGACAATTCATCACTAAAAGGGAATTCTATGCCTACCAGATACAAACCCGCCTTCAGGAAGGCATGACTGTAATAAGATCCAAGCGTTTACTTCATCAATACATTGTGGATGCATATACGGCAATTGAACAAGAAAGATTACGTTGGTATCGACAAAACCAGAAAAAACTCAGAGCGGATCTATATAACAATGTCAAAGATGCAGTTACTAGAGGTGACACTGATGCAAAGTCGATTGGTAAAAGAGTGATCCTACCAGCAAGCTACACAGGTATTCCACGATACATGATTGAAAAATATCATGATGCAATGGCTATATGTCGCTGGTATGGAAACCCAGATTTGTTCATCACTATGACAACTAATCCAAAGTGGGAAGAAATAGCATTGCACTTGAAGACATATGGGAACGATGAACCAAACGACAGGCCTGATCTAGAATGCCGAGTGTTCAAAATACAACTTGATGAATTGTTAGCTGATTTCAACAAAGGACTCTTCTTCCCTCCACCCATTGCAGGTATTTTTTATTATCTAATAACTAATTATTCATATCCATTAAAATCAAATATCTGATTAATTTTTTCTCATTAAATTAGTTGTATACACAATTGAATTTCAAAAGAGAGGATTGCCACATGCACACATCCTTCTATAGCTAAAAAGAGATTTCAAAAACCCAACCACAGAAGTTATTGATAAATTTATTTCAGCTGAGATTCCAGATGAAACCAAAGATCCTGAGGCTTATAAACTGGTAGAGCAGCATATGATGCATGGTCCATGTGGACACGACCGTCCATCCTCTCCATGCATGGATAAAGGGCTTTGTGGGAAAAATTTTCCAAGGGAGTTTGTGCCACACACCAAAGTGAACGATTCTGGTTATATCTTGTACAGACGACGGCAAACTGAACGGGTTATAATGAAGAGGAAAACAAAGCTGGATAATAGGTATGTTGTGCCTCACAATGTTAACATTCTGAAGAAATACAAAGCACATATTAATGTGGAATGGTGCAATAATTCAAGTGCAATAAAATATCTCTTCAAGTACATTACAAAAGGAGTCGATAGAGCAACATTCATAATCCAGCAAGGAAATCACCAAAATGTACGTAACACTGCAGACAAGCCGGAGCCAAAAAGAAATGAGATCAATGATTACCTAGACTGTAGATACTTGTCAGCATGTGAAGCCATATGGAGAATTTTCAAATTTAATATTCACCACCACAATCCATCAGTTCAACGACTTCCTGTGCACCTTCCTGGTGAAGAAACCGCTGTGTTTGATGAAGATGAAAATCTCAGAGACGTCGAATTTTGTTATAGCCAAGGTAGGACAATGCTTACAGAATGGTTTGAGATGAATAGGTTGTGTGAAGAGAATAGAAAGCGAAGATATGTGGAGATGCCACTATATTTTACATGGGATAATGCAAATAAGGTGTACTCACGAAGGAAGCTAAAAGTTGGATGCATTGGAAGGATTGTAAACATTCACCCAACTGCGGGGGATAAGTACTATCTTCGGATGTTGTTAAACATTGAAAGAGGGTCAACGAGTTTTGATGATTTATTAACTGTTGGAGGGGTAAAATATGACAAGTTCAAAGGAGCTTGTCACGCAAAAGGGTTACTAGATGGAGACAAAGAATGGCACGAGTGCATGGATGAAGCATCACAGTGGGCAACATCAAACTTACTCAGAAGTTTATTTATCTTAATATTGATTTACTGTGAAGTCTCTGAACCACGAAAGCTTTGGGAGCATTGTTGGGAATATATGTCAGATGATGTACTTCGTATGCAACAACATCTTCTAAGCTTCCCTCAGCTCCAGCTCAATTCAGACCAACTGAAGCAGTACACATTGGTCGAAATTGAAATTCTCCTACAACAGCATCAAAGATCACTGACAGAAGATTTCCCTGATATGCCTCGCCTAGAGAAGTCAATTTTGGAAGACATTCAGAAAAACACATTACGCCAAGACTTCCAATATAATATTGCCGAGGAAAAAGCGATACACGACATGTTATTCCCCAAACTGAATGAGCAGCAAAGACTAATTTATGGAGATGTCCTCAAATCAGTGTTAAATCAAGAAGGCAAATTATTTTTCCTATATGGAGCAGGAGGCACAGGGAAAACTTTTTTGTACAAAACGATTATCTCATCATTGAGGTCGACCGAGAAAAATGTCATACCACTCGCATCTTCAGCAATTGCAGCTTTACTTCTACCAGGCGGTAGGACAGCACATTCAACGTTCAAAATACCAATCAATGTGCATGAGGATTCTGTGAGGTCAAGGAGGGAACAATGATATCAACTGTACTTAGTAAAGTTGATCTCATTATCTGGGACGAAGCCCCGATGGCACATCGGCATACGTTCGAGGCAGTTGATCGAACAATGAGAGACATTCTATCTGTGCGAGATAAGCCATTTGGAGGTAAAACTGTTCTTCTCGGTGGAGATTTCAGACAAATCTTACCGGTTATTCCTCAAGGAACAAGACAAGAAACAGTGAATGCAGCAATTAATCGATCATATCTCTGGCAGTCATGTATTAAGTTCTTGCTGTCTGAGAATATGAGAGTGGGGCATGAAGAAAAGGAATTCTCAAAATGGATTCTGCAAGTAGGAGATGGACTAGCATTGAAGGCCAACCAGGAAATAGAGAAATATACAGAAGAAGAAAGCATCTTAATTGATGACAATCTATTGATTCCACAAACAGATAAGCCACTGGAAAAGCTATGCGAGTCTGTTTACCCGAAATTTATTAGATCATTTCAGGATCTGGACATCCTTAAAGACACAGCTATTTTGACACCAAGAAATGAGACAGTGGATGAGATCAACGCTTTCCTACTATCTAAGGTGCCTGGCTTAGAAAAGGAGTATTTAAGTTGTGATACTACAGGCCCCGATGAAGTTCATGATGGAGATTACGAGATCTCCTATCCTACGGAATATTTAAACGCATTGGAATTCCCTGGCCTTCCAGCTCATCGACTATGTCTAAAAGTTGGTGTCCCA